GTAAAAATGATATAAAATGGACAAAAAAGTTGCATTCATTTTACGTAAAATTAACAGAAACATGCTGTTTGGGCAGTATTTGAGTCATGGGAGCACTCGTAGAGAAGAAGGCAGGGGAATTTTTAGGCTTTTGCGCCTTCATCCTGGTATATTGCGATAGAGGCCCATTTCTCTCGCCTTCCTAGAGTTCAATATTCCACGATTTGATGCGGAAAGGAATTCATCCTGAAAGCCCCACCGTATTGCAACATAATGCAAAGAAGGCAGATCGTGCCTTACCCTTGTCAGGAATTGTAGATTCGGATTCTTGTGTATCGATGTCGATAGACCGACTGATTGATCGATCGATTACATAGGATACATGCGTGGGTTTCCTCCTCGGCGGAATCGGACAACTGGATAAACACCGAAAATCCAATTCTTCGTTGTCGACAAGAGTCTGTATCCTTCTGGTGCTCTCATACACATAAACTTTTGACTTCAACTGAAATAACCTATTTCATTTTTTGCCCATTATGTCACGATCGTTTTGAAAATCACAGCCACGAACATCGAGGAAATTGAGAATGCTTTCCAGCGATTCGTGAAGAGGGACGACGTCGGCATCATTCTCATCAATCAACAGGTAACATAGACAAATTCTTTCCTTATCCTTTTTTAAAAATACGTTTTATCATTTTTCTTGGGAAAACATGCCAAGTCTCATTGAAACCACAGGTGGCAGAAGTGATTAGGAACGTGATCGACAGGCATATGTCTCCCATCCCGGCAGTGTTGGAGATCCCTTCAAAAGACTACCCTTATGACCCAAGCAAGGATTCCATTCTACGACGAGCCAAGGGAATGTACACGACCGAAGACTTCCGCTAATGATCCTTCACTTCAGCCGTTATATAGTCCATTCCACGCCAACATATAATCTCAGTCCTAATGAATTAAAAGTCATCATGTATCGAAATTAGTACATCATATTGCATTACTTCCAGGGTTGGGATCGCTTTGTCACTGAGAAGGTATGGCTCATGCTGGTACCAACCCCACTCTTGGCTCATTCTGTTGCGATTTGGGTCATTATCCAAGTCATGATTGCAAAATGCATTCAGCACCATTTTGTGACATGACTCAATTTACAATCGAATTCCCTATGTACTAAATGCATTCGATTCTGAGGAAATTTAGGTCATGGGTGTTCACTTTCTGGGAGAGTAGAAATCCCCAACTTGACTTGGCTTGCTAACCCTAAGGGCCTTGAACTGGAAAAGAGCTTGTTCAAATTTGCCACCCCTACATTTGGACCTAAATATGTAAATGATTGGAACTTCAATTACGAAAGAGACAGATAAAGAAGGGAAAATAGACTTCAAAAATAGAAAGTGACAGATAATGCGGTATGAATTTTGAGGAAATAGGTACATTCTGATTTAATTGTTTTTCCCTCAGATAGCTGAACGTAGAGCAGCCTATAATTATGGCTTGGCTTTTGCATTAAGGCAATTTGATTCTACACAGAAGAGAACCCTGCATATACTAGACTGATCAAAAGGGAACGGAACTTTGGCTGCAGCTCATATATTACAAGTCGAAATCGCTGACCACATTGCAGGCGTCAACAATGTTCACCTTGCGACTCATGGTAAAAATTTCAGTGCTCTTTCGTTTAAGGAATCCTGTTGGTGATAACAAAAAATTGCCATGGTTAGTAACATTCGGCGGATTTTAGTGGAATGCCAGCGCTGAAGCAAAGGGAAAAGATGAAACTCTGAAAATCGTTCACCGAGACTCAAAAGCTTTCGAAGCAAATGTACCTACGAACAGCAGGTACTTGTTGTAAATATCTTTCGAAGCGGCTATAGATGTCGCTTCGAAATGTCAGCTCTGCTATCTACAGGCAGCATGAAGCACCACCTCACCCACATTCGCCCATAGATGCCGCTTCGCACAATCAGCTCTGCCATCTACTGGCCGCAGTAGATAACCAGTTCACCCACAGCCGCCCGTAGATACCGATTCAGAATGTCGGCTCTGCTATCTACTGGCAACAGTAGGAACCAGCTCACCCACAGTCGCCCGTAGATGACGCTTCGGACAATCAGCTCTGCCATATACTGGCCGCAGTAGGAACCAGCTCACCCACAACTGGGCTGTAGATGCCGCTTCAAAATGTCAGCTCTGCTATCTACTGGCAACAGTAGGAACCAGCTCACCCACAACTGGGCTGTAGATGCCGCTTCAAAATGTCAGCTCTGCTATCTACTGGCAACGGTAGGAACCAGCTCACCCACAGTCGCCCGTAGATGCCGCTTCGGACAATCAGCTCTGCTATCTACTGGCAACAGTAGGAACCAGCTCATCCACAACCGCCCGTAGATGCCGCTTCGAATTGTCAGCTCTGCTATCTACTGGCAACGGTAGGAACCAGCTCACCCACAACTGGGCTGTAGATGCCGCTTCAAAATGTCAGCTCTGCCATCTACTGGCCACAGTAGGAACCAGCTCATCCACAACCGCCCATAGATGCCGCTTCGCACAATCAACTCTGCCATCTACTGGCAGCAGTAGATAACCAGCACACCCACAGCCAGGCTGTAGATACCGCTTCGAAATGTCATCTCCGCTATCTACTGGGAACAGTAGGAACCAGCTCACCCACAACCGCCCGTAGATGCCGCTTTAAATGTCTGTAGTATAGTCGGCAGCAAAAGACACACTTGGTTGAGGACAAAAGATTTGATTGATGGGGCGGGGAGAGGCAGGGAGTCAAAGAGATACGAGTATATCTGGCCTCAGGCAGGTCATTGGGGGGCTAAAGGTTTATGACACACTTCATTGTTGTCAGATAAAGAACAGCACCTTTTAGTCAGTTGAGAGAGGTCCATTGGGATCCCCTTCACCCGATTGAACGAAAGAAAGTCGCCAACCCTGACTTTTAAGGAAAATCCCTCCATTCATGATGTCTCAGGTGAGAAGCATAAGTGATATTTAATGACCGAGGCTCCCCCTTGACCTGTGACATCGAAGCCGCAAGTGTCTTTTGAGGCCGAATAGACTATACCCTTCCGCCGTTTCTCGTTCCATCTTGATATTGGGTATGGATCAATCTGCCAATGGGCCCCATTTTGAGTCGAAATGTTCAAAGTTTCCTTGTTGGACGCATGATGCATGGGAAGTCAAGCCATCCTTTCTGAAATATGCCTAAATAGGACTCATGAGATGAAGGGGATCATGAGATGCATGATTCAAATTGTTCACGTAAGTCTTATGCTACCACAATACCAATGAGCCAAGATAAGGAGAAGGCTGGAATGCTGGCTAAACTGGTAGCAACGTTAAGTCTGCTATCTACTTTCAGCAAAAGGAACCATCTCATCCACTGCTGACTGTAAATGTCGCTTCAGAAAGTCAAATCTGCTATCTGAAACTTCAAAATGGGATTTCAAATGGTCTTTAATGTGTCAAGAAAAATAAATCACATCATCAAGAAAAATGACGTAAGCACGTCGTAAATACATTCGGACACTGGAATGGATTATTAACACTTTCACAATGAGAGACAGATTTGAAACTATATGGACGAGATAGGGTTGAGTGTGGACGAAAAGCAATCTCTGTCCAAATTTATTTAGAACATTCTTGGGAATAGGTTTTCATAAGAAATCTGTGGCTTTGGCATAGATGCTGGAGTTGGATTTCAAATGGACTTTAATCTGTCAAGAAAATAAAATACATCATGCATACATACTAATACAGAAAAAGGATGTACGCTGCTTGAAAATCCATTTGGGAAAAAGGATTTCAGTCACCAAAACTTTCACAATGAGAATTGGGATGCGGCTGGGTATAACGGAAAGCGATCTTTGTACAAATTCGTTTTATCACATTCTTGAGATTTGTGCATTGGAATGCAGTGATTTTTGGCATTGATGCTGGAATTGGGCCCCGCCTCCAGGAGGGTTGAAACCTCTTGGTCATGCTCGGAGCGCTACCAGTTCAACCAGCAATCCAGCCTTTTCCTCATCTCGACTCATTGTAGTTGTGGTAAAACTCTTCCACCGAATACCATTCCATGTTGAAAATGAGTGTGGCTCCTTCTTCAGTTTCAGCCAATGGTTCCCAATTTGAGTTGAAATGTTCATCGTTTCCCTATTGCACGCATGATGCTTGGAAGTCAAGCCGTATCCTGGAACGCAGCCTTTCCTGAAATATAACTAGTTTGGGAGATAATGAGATGCACGTTTCAAATGGTTCATATAAGTCTTATAAAGGGGTGATTTGCCAAGTGTCAAAATGAAATCTGTCAAAGATCGCATTTGTCGACTATAGAATTTACCATTTGGAAAAATGTGAAATAAAAAAAGTTTTATATCAAGGACTAGTTCTTGGTTGGACGAGTTTACTTTTAATCAAATTTCCTGTTTCGGCCCAGAAGGGGCATGCTGCTGATACTTCGGTATTCATCTTATTGGATAAGATCGGCGAGGATGAACTACTATGTAACAAACGCCAGCTGATGTCTCCATCAGACTTCGATGATGGATGTCTGTATGGTGCTTTCCATGTGAGAGAGAAGGAAGTGTTTCCTCTAATTAGAGTTCCAAGGTGGTGTGCGGGAAAATAAACTTTTAAATTTGAGGACACACGAGTAAGGGTATTGCTATAAATGGAGGTACGGGAAAGAATCGCTACATGGACATTTTTATTTCGCTCATGATACGTGATGGTTAGAGAGGAGCAGAGCTCCTTAGGAAAAAAGCTGGAAGAGGGGGGAAGAAAAGTCATGAAGAAACGAGTGGAGTTGCACCTTATTCTTAATTTTATTCATGTGTATGGATATTTGGCTATGCGTTGCTCGGCTCACGTTTTCCAGCTCAGTTGCTCCTAGATCTAACCAGGTCTATCCTCTTATGAGGTCATGCGAATGGCGTCTGTTTCCATGACAGGGAGAGAGATATCCCCAGGTTCGAAAAGAAGAGATTTTGGCATAGTGGTATACGACGGAAGGAAACAGAATGAGAAAAAGACGTAGAAAAACTTATCGGAAGGGACATCCAAAATCTAATTAGTTCGGAATAATAAGGTGGAGTACAATCCTCTGAGGTGGAAAAACCAGGTGAAAGAATGAAGAACCCATGACTAATTGCAATAGGTAGGCCGCATGCCAGACTAGCAAAGTAAAGGAAGGTTAATTGTGTGGGGTGTTCCTTTGAATTCGTGAGAAACCTCTTAATATAGCACAGACGGAAGGCTAAACGCCTTCCTTCCAATGAGATCAAACCTTGACCTCCCTGGATCAGGGGTCTATGCAAGTAAATGGGATGAAGCCAATGTTTCTACCAGACGATGTTGCGAAATTTAGATTCAAATTTTGAGAGGAATCCAGGGGGAGGCTCAAGGCATGCCAACATATGCCACAGCTTCGTAGCAACCAGTTGATTTAAAATTAACGTTCGGCCTCGGTAAGACATGAACTTTGGGGTCTATGTAAGTAAATGGGATGAAGCCAATGTTTCTTCTGCCAGACGGTGTTGCGAAATTTAGATTCAAATTTTGAGAGGAATCCAGGGGGAGGCTCAAGGCATGCCAACATATGCCACAACTTCGTAGCAACCAGTTGATTTAAAATTAACGTTCGGCCTCGGTAAGACATGAACTTGAATCTGAACTTCCATTTAGAAAGGGATGACTCGAGTTTCGTTTCTGCTTCTTCCCAATTCTTCAGTTCATAGGCCGCGACTCCAAGGTGCAACCCTAAGAGCTTTAAGCCATCGGCACACCAGGAAAACGAGCCGGGAGAGTCTTCTCTAGTCCGCCACGAACCGCACCAAAGACCACGGGTTTTTCTAATATTTAGGCAGGCATTGGAAGCTGCAGCATACACTTCATAACATGATTGCAAAATTCCAGCCATGGCGGATGACGGACCCATAGTA